TCCCTCCACTGCTCCACAGCGCGTCCCACTGCCGTCTCCTCCTGCGTCCTCTCTTCCTGCTCTTGCTGACCCAGGGTCAGACTCCCTTCGTGCTGCCAGTCCTACTGTCACGCGTCTCCTGGCTACTGTTGTCACTGACCCTTCCTTTGAGTCCGTTGCTGCGTCTGCCTTAGTTGCTGAGCTTGTTGACTTTGCTGCCACATGTCGTCTAGACTACGCCGCTAGCCTAGTTGCTGAGTCTGAGTCTCTCTATCCTTCGTCCGTTGGGGGTGAGTGTGCTCTTGGCACTGACGTCCTTGAGGACAGGCAGGAGGAGTTTGAGTGCTTTGCTGCCGCTTTGTTCCATCTCGTGTCCATGCTTGTTGCCCCTTAGGGAGACCCGGATGCACCAGACATCCCGACCCCACGCTCTTACGCAGAGGCGATGGCCGGTCCCTACTCCTCTTAGTGGCAGTCAGCCATGGACAAAGAGGTGGCTTCCTGGAAGTCCACAGGCACCTACGTTGACGAGGTTCCCCCGCCTGGGGCGAACATCGTCAGTGGCATGTGGATTTTCAGGGTGATGCGACCGCCGGGCTCTCCGCCTGTCTTCAAGGCGCGTTACGTTGCACGAGGCTTCAGTCAGCGAGAGGGAGTTGACTTCTTCCAGACCTTCTCCCCGACCCTGAAGATGACCACTCTTCGAGTTCTGCTGCACGTCGCTGCTCAGCGTGACTACGAGCTCGACTCTCTTGACTTCAGCACTGCTTTCCTACAGGGCAGCCTGCACGAGGAGATCTGGTTGCGCCGCCCACCTGGCTTCACTGGGTCGTTCCCTCCTGGTACCTTGTGGAGCCTCCGACGGCCAGTCTACGGTCTCCGCCAGGCACCGCGTGAGTGGCACGACACACTGAGGACTACACTTGCGGCTCTTGGGTTCGCGCCTTCTACTGCTGACCCGTCGCTGTTTCTACGCACCGACACCTCTCTGCCGCCGTTCTACATCCTCGTGTACGTCGACGACTTGGTCTTTGCCACTACTGACACTGCGGCACTCGCCCACGTGAAGTCGGAACTGCAGAAGAGACACACGTGCACAGACCTGGGTGAACTGACAAGCTATCTTGGCTTGCAGATCACCCGGGACAGAGCACGCCGCACCATCACCTTGACTCAGTCACACATGGTGCAGCAGGTCCTTGAGCGCTTCCGCTTCACGTACTCCTCGCCTCAGCCCACTCCTCTGCCTACCAGTCACTCGCTCTCAGCTCTGCCTTCGGATGAGTCCGTAGAGCCGAGTGGCCCGTATGCAGAGCTTGTGGGTTGCCTCATGTACCTGATAACCTACACTCGACCTGACCTTGCATACCCTCTCAGCATTCTTGCACGCTATGTCGCTCCCGGCCGTCACCGGAAGGAGCACATGGATGCAGCTAAGAGGGTGTTGCGCTACTTGTGCAGTACGTCGGGCATGGGGCTAGTGCTTGGAGCGTGAGTCCCAGTTGTTCTCACTGGGCACTCAGACGCTTCTTGGGCAGACGACCAGGCTACTCATCGGTCGTCTCAGGGTTACACCTTCAGTCTTGGCTCTGGTTCAGTTTCTTGGCGTTCTACTCGCTCTTCTTCTGTTCTCAGCTCCAGTTGTGAGGCTGAGATCTACGCCACAGCCATGGCTGCCCAGGAGCTACGCTGGCTCACCTACTTGCTGACCAACCTTTGAGAGCGGCCTCACTCTCCTCCAATGCTCTACGTCGACAACCAGGCAGCCATTGCCTTGTGTCAGGAGCACAGACTGGAGCACAGAACGAAGCACATTGCTCTGCGCTACTTCCTTGCTCGAGAGCTGCAGCAGCGTGGTCAGCTTCGTCTGCGTTACGTGGCCTCTGAGGCCAACACTGCTGATGTGTTCACCAAGGCGCTTCAGCCTTGTGACCATCAGCGCTTTTGCACTCTTCTAGGCCTTGTACCTACTGGACCTCACTTGCTTACTTCTTGAGTCTGTTTGTACTCTGATCTCTGTATATATATACCTGCATGTTTACTCTTGCTAGGTTGTGATCATTGTACCTCTTGCTCTATTATAAACCTGCATGTGAATTGGTCTTGTGACCACTTGCTTGTGCTCAGAATTTGTGTGGTATCCTTGAGATCCACCTTGAGCTTGTTTTGTCTTGCTTTGCCTTGACTGGTCTTGTGACCCCTAGTTCTCCCTCACTTTGCCTATGGCGGTGTGTCAAACATTATATATGTTGTGCTTAATTAGGCTACAGTGGGTTAACATATAGGGGGTACACAATTCTAGGGTTAGGTACTTGTACTGATTTCACTACTAGTTTAACCACTTTTTCTTTTTCCTTCATTTCAACAGAGCAGGCTGCGGCCGACGACGAGCACGCTGCGGCCGACGACGAGCACGCTGCGGCCGACGACGAGCAGGCTACGGCCAACGACGAGCAGGCTGCGGCCGATGACGAGCAGGCTGCGGCCGATGACGAGCAGGCTGCGGTCGATGACGAGCAGGCTGCGGTCGATGACGAGCAGGTTGCGGCCGATGACGAGCAGGCTGCGGCCGATGACGAGCAGGCTGCGGCCGATGACGAGCAGGCTGCGGCTGATGACGAGCAGCAGGAATCTAGCAGCAGGAATGAATGCACTATGGAAGAGTCAGGTACAAGTATGAAACCCTAAACGGGGCTGTACCCCTTATTGGCTACCCCACTACAACCTACACACATATAACATGCATATACGTTTACACACCCCCATAGGCAAAGTGGGGGAGAACAAGCGGTCACAAGACCAGTCAAAAGAATCAAAGCAAGCTAAGGGTGGATCACAGCGTCACCACACACACTGAGCACAAGCAAAGGGCCACAAGGCCAGTTCACATGCAGAGGTATACATGCAACAACGGCAGCACAGTTATCTCTACCTAGCAGAGAAAGCATGCAGGTACATATATAGATCAGAGTACAGGCAAAGTCTACAGCAAGTGAGAAAACGTGGGTACAAGGCCTAATAGAGTACAGAAACGCTGATGATCACCAGACGGAAGTGCCTTGGTGAATATATCAGCAGTGTTGGCCTGAGTGGCCACGTCAACAAGACGAAGCTGACCACGCTGCTGCAACTCTCAAGCAAGGAAGTAACGCAGAGCGATGTGCTTCGTTCTGTGCTCCAGTCTGTGCTCCTGACACAAGGCAATGGCTGCCTTGTTATCAACGTACAGCACTGGAGGAGAACGAGGCCGCTCTCCTAAGTCGGTCAGCAGGTAGGTGAGCCAGCGTAGCTCCTATGCAACCATTGCTGTGGCGTAGATCTCAACCTCACAACTGGAGCCGAGAACTGAAGACAGCCGTGTAGAACACCAGGAAACTGAACCAGAGCCAAGGTTGAAGGTGTAGCCCTGTGACGACCGCTGCGTAGCTAGGTCTTCTACCCAAGAAGCGTCCGAGTGCCCAGTGAGGACAACTGGGCTCCGCCCTCCAAGCACGAGCCCCATGCCGGATGTACTGCTCAAGTAGCGCAGTACCCTCTTAGCAGCATTCATGTGCACCTTTCAGTGCCTACCAGGAGCCACGTAGCGAGCCACAAGGCCAAGAGGGTACGCAAGGTCAGGTCGAGTGCAGGTCATCAGGTAAATGAGGCAGCCGAATAGCTCTGGGTATGGGCCACTCAGCTCTACGGACTCGTTCGAAGGTGGAGCTGAGAGCGAGTGGCCTGTAGCCAGAGGAGTGCGCTGTGGCGAGGACCAAGTGAAGCCGAAGTCCTGAAGGACCTGCTGCACCATGTGTGACTGAGCCAGTGTGATGGTGCGGCGTGCTCTGTCCCGGGTGATCTGCAAGCCAAGGTAGCTGCGTAGCTCACCCAGGTCTGTGCACGTGTCGGCGGGGCCGCGTCGGCAGGGCCGTCCGGGCGTCCGGGCGGCGGCGGGGCGCGGCCGCGTCAGAGGCAGAGCGGGGCCGCGTCGGTGCCAGGGCGCGGCCACGTCAGCTGCAGGGCTGGCGGGGCCGCGTCAGCAGTAGGGCGCGGCCGGGTCAGAGGCAGGGCGGGGCCGCGTCGGCAGCAGGGCGCGGCCGCGTCAGAGGCGGGGCGGGGCCGCGTTGGTGGCAGGGCGCGGCCGCGTCAGAGGCAGGGCGGGGCCGCGTCGGCGGCAGGGCGGGCCGCTACCGCGGCCTGACGGGGTCGCGACAGCGACCTAGCGGGGCCGCGTCAGTGGCAGGGCGGGGCCGCGACCGCGGCATGGTGGGGCCATGTCAGCGGCAGGGCGGGGCCGCAACCGCAGCCTGACGGGGCCGCGACAGCGACCTGGCGGGGCCGCGTCGGTGGCATGGCAGGGCCGCGACCGCGGCATGGTGGGGCCGCGTTAGCGACAAGGCAGGGCCGCGACCGCGGCGGGGCGGGGTCGCGTCAACGGCAGGGCGGGGCCGCGTCAACGACCTGGCGAGGCGGCGCTCTGGCCTGACGGGCCTGCAGGGGCGGCTCGTGGGCCTTACTAGTCTGTAGGGGCGGCGCGCTGGCCTAGGGCAGCAGGAGGTAGCGCGAGGGCTGCAGGACGGCGCGCGCAGCGCAGCACGTCACAAGCAAGGCAGGCAGGCGCAGGACAACACGTGGGGTAGCGCGGTAACCGCAACGGTAGGTGGGCCCGAAAAAAAAGACGGTCCTAGGGACCTAGTGTTTTGATACCATGTTAGAATCTAGCAGCAGGAATGAATGCACAATGGAAGAGTTGGGTACAAGTATGAAACCCTAAACAGGGCTATACCCCATATTGGCTACCCCACTACAGCCTACACACATATAACATGCATATACGTTGACAGTTGCGGCCAAGGACGAGCAGGCTGCGGCCGATGACGAGCAGGCTGTGGCCGATGACGAGCAGGCTGCGGCCGATGACGAGCAGGCTGCGGCCGATGACGAGCAGGCTGCGGCCGATGACGAGCAAGCTGCGGCCGATGACGAGCAAGCTGCGGCCGATGACGACCAAGCTGCGGCCGATGACGAGCAAGTAGCGACCGATGACGACCAAGATGCGGCCGATGACGACCAAGCTGCGGCTGATGGCGGATGACGAGCAAGCTGCGGCCGATGACGAGCAAGCTACGGCCGAAGTCGAGCAAGCTGCGGCCAAAGACGAGCAAGCTGCGACCGAAGACGAGCAAGTTGCGGCCGAAGACGAGCAAGCTGCGGCCGAAGACGAGCAAGTGACGGTCGAAGACGAGCAAGCTGCGGCCGAAGACGAGCAAGCTGCGGCCGAAGACGAGCAAGCTGCGGCCGATGACGAGCAAGCTGCGGCCGATGACGAGCAAGCTGCGGCCGATGACGAGCAAGCTGCGGCCGATGACGAGCAAGCTACGGCCGAAGACGAGCAAGCTACGGCTGGAGACGAGCAAGCTGCGGCCGATGACGAGCAAGTTGCGGCCGATGACGAGCAAGCTGCGGTCGTTGACGAGCAAGCTGCGGCCGATGATGAGCAAGCTGCGGCCTATGATGAGCAAGCTGTGGCCGATGACGAGCAAGCTGCGGCCGATGACGAGCATGCTGCGGACGAAGACGAGCAAGCTGCGGCCGAAGACGAGCAAGCTGCAGAAATGTGACATGCCGCAGCTGAAGGAGCTGGATGTGGTACTTTAAAAAGGTGCAGCCGGGATGGTGAGAGGCAGATTAATAGTGGATGAGAGGCAGATTACCCGGCTGTGTGTGCGCGAATGCGGGTGGAGCAATGAGCAGTTGAACACCGTCTAACGGCCGTGGATTGATGTGGAGAAATAATACTGCTGGGATGCATGGCATGTGCTGGGATGCATGGCATGTGCTGGGATGCATGGCATGTGCTGGGATGCAGGGCATGTGCTGGGATGCATGGCATGTGCCGGGATGCATGGCATGTGCTGGGATGCATGGCATGTGCTGGGATGCATGGCATGTGCTGGGATGCATGGCATGTGCTGGGATGCATGGCATGTGCTGGGATGCATGGCATGTGCTGGGGTGCATGGCAATTGCTGGGATGCATCATGCATGGCACGTGCGACCAAATGATGCATGTCGAAGTAAGGAGTATGCTTGTAGTGTAATTTGTACCATATGCTTGTGCAGGTGTTTACTGATGTTTCGCCAGCTGAAACAACTGCAGGGGCACTTAAAAACGGTGGGAGAGGGTGGGGTGGGGTGGGGTGCTGTATCCAATCTGAAAACGGGGCGCTGCCACACCCCGGATATAACAAACAGAGGTGCTTTATCACGCCGGGTCTACTATATGGGGGATTGCGGTGCACCTTGTTCAAGTTTGCAACCTCCCAAATCGCAACACGCTCGTGCAGAGCCCTCGACATTAAAGTTTTAAAAACTTGAATCGTAAATTGGGCCGCGCGCTTCAATATATGGCATGTCACATTGACAATCCTAACAATTCCCACCAGCAAAACTTCATCACCATATATACCACATAGCTTCTGAAACATGGTCACAAAACATTGGATTCACCCATCACGTCGCTTGTTGCGCCTCTTGCGCCCCCCCTTATCACCATGCCGCCGTCTGCTCTTGGTGTGCCTCCTCTCGCTGCTGCTGTCACTCCCATAGTAGTCACCCTCACTGCTGCTCCCATCGCTCTCACTGCTGCTCTCATGCCTTCCCCTGTGGTGCTTTCTCCGTGATGCCTTCTTCTTGTGCTTCTTCCTCCTCGCTGCATCATCTGATTCTTCACTTCCTGTACTCCCGCTCTCTCATCTCTTCGTCCTCTTTCATCGCTTCTTCCCCCCATTAGTCTCTCGTGACCGTTTCTTGCTCCTCTTCTTCACCCCCTCCTTCCTCCTCCTCCTCCTCCCCTCCCCTCCACCAGACAAAGAGCCTGCGCTATCTGAGTCGGACCCCGACGATGCTGATGACAACGACGATGACGTCAGCACACGCTTCTTCTTCTTGATAGCAGCGACAGCTGGAGCAGCGACAGCAGCAAGTGCGCCCCTTCCTTCCCCCATGGCACCACCCCTCATGCCTCCATGTGCATAACCCATACCGTCTCCACTGCCTCCCCGCTCACTTTGCCCCACACGTGCCTCACTCGCCCCGCTTCCACCTGCCGCATTATCACCTCCTTCTCTTGCTCATTCCGCCTGCCCTGCTTCAACTGCAACCCCTGCACTGCCTGCCATGCCAGCGCCATCACGCCCCTGGCCCCACACACCACCCTCCTGCTCCTTTCCTGCCCTCCCCTTCCGCCTTACTCTCCCGCTTCGCACCCTTGCTGCCCTCCCTCTCCTCTCGCCTGCCCTCGCCCCCTGCCCCGCGTCGCACCTCCCACGGGTCCACCTGCAAGCCCAGCTCCTCGCCCAGCCCCTCCAGGAAGTCACCTGCCTCTAACCGAGCAAGAGCCCGCGTGGCAGCTTCTGCCGCTGCCACGTCATCAATGCCACCTGGCGCTGCGGATGTGGCACGAGCATCGTCGTCGCTGTCTTCATCATCCGAAAAGATTGCCTGGAGCGAAGGGGAGCGTGCAGGGTGGCAGGACAGGTGGAGTTGGAGTCACAAACTTGCAGCAGAGGGCAGTAAGGTGACAGGGAAACAAAAACAGGTGACGTGAATGTTTAACGGAACACAATGTCGGAACCTCACCCACCTCCCGTGCCTCATGCTCACCTTGTCCTGCCCCTGCCTCTCACTCTGCCATGCTAGCTCAGTGTGAGCCCTCTCAGTGCTTCTCTCCCTTCTGCTGACTGCCTGTGCTCTGGCCTCCGTGCCAGTGGCTGTCCGGTCTCTCCTTGTGGGTATGTTGTTCCTTACTGCCCTGATAAGCTCGGAGCTCCTTCACACACCACCTCTTAGCTAGACATCTATTCTACGGCATGCTTGCTTGTTGTGTCTCCCTGTCAACACCGTTGGCTCACGTTTACAGCAACGAAAAATGTAAATTGGAAAACATACAAGCAATAGCGATTGCTCCCAGAGTTCCACCTAATCTACCAGCTCTGCCGCCGCCGCACATCAACTCTACCCTGCTTCTCCTAATCTGCTCTGTAGAGGTTGAACCCCTTTCGAGCAGACTTGCAGCCTGGCTGTTTCTTGCCCTCCTTCCCCAACCCCTCCTACTTGCCTCCAGCTGCCCTCATCCTGTTCCAGCTGACTCCCTGGAGCAACCTGCACACACGGGAAACAAACACGCATGCATTCGGACACACATCCCCCACCGGCGCTGCTGTTGCCATCCAAGCTGCACCTGCCTTGTTCCGCTGCCGATCCTTGGTGCCTCGCCTCGTTCCACGTCAGTCCCGCCCTGCTTCACACCAATGCAAACCTTCCGCCCCTTCGGTTCGGCAACGGTCCTCTCCTTCTGCCTCGCAATGTCCCCCTTGACCCTTCACCTCCCGTCCGCGCTCCATCTCACTTCGCTATGTACAATGTATACAGTATGTACACCACCCTTCCGCCTCGCCTTACCCTTCACATTCACAGAAATGTGACAGCTGTCGGAACCTCACCCACCTCCCGTGCCTCATGCTCGCCTTGTCCTGCCCCTGCCTCTTACTCTGCCATGCTAGCTCAGTGTGAGCCCTCTCTGTGCTTCTCTCCCTTCTGCTGACTGCCTGTGCTCTGGCCTCCGTGCCAGTGGCTGTCCGGTCTCTCCTTGTGGGTATGTTGTTCCTTACTGCCCTTGCCCCCTCCCATGACCTACTGCCGCCGTCCTCGCCCTGGTCATGGGACCTGTATAGCTGGTCTGCCTCTGATGCTTCCCTGTCGGTGCCACGTTAGTGATGTGGTCCATCACCCGCTTGCCCTGTGCATCCTCTAGGACTAAGACCCCTGACTCCCTCACCTCCTTCACTTCCCACCTTTGCTGTGACACCCCAACATCTAGGCCATCCCGCTTCGCCCTTCGCAGGTACACCGCCTGTCCCTCCTCCACTGCCGGTTCCTGTCCTTGCTTCTTGCTCAGCTGACGTTGCTTGTAACGATGAATATCTCGCACCTGCGCCACCTTCAGGCTCTCCATGGCTGCAGGCAGCATCTTCTTCAAGTACTCGGCCCTGGCGTCTGCCAGTGCCACCCACTTCTCCGCTGTTCTCGCTGTGACGCTGTCCACCAACAGCCTGGGTGCATCCACTGGCAGGATAGGCTGCTTCCAGAAGAGCAGGTAATACGGCGAGACGTCCTTCAATGAAGCCTGCTTGCTGAATCGATAGCCTGCCATCACCCATGGAAGCTTCCTGTCCCAATCTGCCTTATTCACCTCTCCATAGGCCCTGATACCCTTCTTCACCTTCTGCACCAACCGTTCGGTGAGGCCGTCGCTCTGGGGGTGGTATCTAGACGTCGTGCGGTGCTGGATCCCATTCTCTGCAAGGAGCTTTTGAATTCTCCCTGGAACTCCGTCCCTTGGTCTGTCAGCACTTCTCCGCAGGCCCCGAATCTTGTCAGCACCATTTCCTCAAATGCTTCCGCCACCGCTTCCGCTGTCTTCGCCACAAGGGCTCTTTCTTCCGCCCACTTGTTGACATGCTCGATCATGAGCAAAACGTATCTCCTGCCCCTTCGCGACACCGGCAACTCTCCTGCTATGTCCAGCGACCACCTGTATCCCAGCTCCACTATGGCCAAGGGCTGAAGCTCGGCCTGGCTCTTTAGCAGGCTTGCCTTATTTCTGCAGCACAGCTCGCACCGGTCCACCCATTCCTTCACCTGTTTCCGCATTCCTGCCCACCACCACCCTGTCTGTTGCAGCTGCTGGCTCCTCAAGGGCCCGTAGTGTCCCAACTTACTGTGGACTTCTCGAATGATTCCTTCCCGCTCGTCTGGCGCTGGCACCCTTTTCCACCCGTCCTTGGTCTGCAGGTGCACCTGTCCCTGAAACCACCTGTAGTGTTGGCCCCGCGCTCGTGCCCTTGCCCCAGCTCCCCCATCCTCTGCTGTCTCTCCTCTGATCCAGGCTAGGGTCTCGGGGTCCTGCCACACGTCTGCTGCCCACCCGTCTACTCCCTTACCATGGCAGTGGCGCCTGCCTTCTCCCAGGGGTGGATTCCTTGACAGCCCGTCGACGTGCTGCATCGTCTTGCCCGGTCGGTGCCTGACTGTGAAGTCATATTCTTGCAGCTTCATCGCCCACCGTGCGTTTCTGCCTGTCAGCGTCTGGTTGCTCATCAGCCATAGCAGTGGCTGGTGGTCAGTCACCAAGGTGAAGTGCCTCCCTTGTAGGTACACCCTAAAGTGCCCTACTGCCCATACTGCTGCCAGTCCTTCCCCTTCGTAGGATGAATAGTTAGCCTCAGCCGGGCTGCATGTCCTGCTAGCGAAGGCTACCAACTTCTCCACTCCCTTGTCCACCTGACTCAAAACTGCTCCCATCCCGATGCTGCTCCAGTCCGTGTAGAGCGTGAAAGGCTGCTGTCCGTCCGGTAGCTTCAGCACTGCTCCCGATTTCACCGCCTCCATCAGTCCGCGCAGCGCCTGCTCCTGCGGTTCCTCCCACGCCACTTCTGCTCCTCCTTGAGCAGCGAGTTCAAAGGTGCCGCCTTCTTGCTGAAGTCCTCTACGAATTTACGATAGTAGTTAAGAAACCCTAGCAGAGCGCGCAAGCTGGTTCGGTCCTTGGGCCTCTCCACCCTGTCCAGCACCCCGACTTTGGCTGTCTGGATGCTTAGCTCCCCTCCAGTCACCTCAAATCCTAGGTAAGCTACGCTACTGTGCCCGAAGCGACATTTCCCCAAATGGCAGGTCAGACTTACTGCCTCAATCGCGGTCAGTGTTGCCTCTACATCTCGCACGTGCGTCTCTGCATCCGGACTAAAGATTATCACGTCATCTATGTAGCACGCCGCGCCCCTTACGCCCCTCAGAACCGCGTCCATTACTCGCTGGAACGTTGCCGAGGCGTTCCGCAGCCCGAATGGCATGTAATTCCACTCGTACAGCCCATCTGGCCCGTGGAAGGCCGTTTTCTTCTTGTCCTCCTCTGCTATTGGTATCTGGTTGAAACCTTGCCGTAGATCCAGTGTAGAGAACACCCAGCTTCCATGCAGCTGGTTGAATATCTCCTCTGCCATGGGCATTGGGTATCTGTCAGTGGCCGTCACTTTTTTCAGTCCACGATAGTCGCCACACATGCGGCGAGACAGTATGGCGCCGGTCAGGTCTGTCCTCGCTGCTACCACTGTTGCTGCTGCGTAGTCGGATGATGATCTTCTGATCAATCCGGCGCTCAACAACTCCTGGCACTTGTCGGTGCAGACACTGATATCTTGCGGGCTCATCCTCCTCCTTCTCTGGTATACCGGCACCTCGCTAGTCAGGGGTAGGTGCATTGTGCTGATGACGCACTTCCCCAGTTGTTGCAGCGTGTGCGCGAATGCGGCTGCATGTTGTCTCAGTACTGCTTCTAGCCTCAGCGCCATCTCCCCTTGCACCGCTCCCCCTATGTCCCACTCTGTTCCCTGTGGCTGAGCCTCTTCTGCCTCTACCCGTGCTGCTGCTACTGTTGATGCCGCTAACCGCTCCTGTGCTTCTCCATCCGTACCTGCTCCCAGCGCTGCGCCCTCTCCTTCTACCTGTATAGCCATGTACGCTCGGCCGGGCCCTAGGAAGACTTCGTCCGGGTCTGGTATCCACCTCTCCGTAGGGTCCTCCTCATCTTCTGAATCCCGGTCCATCTCCGGCTCTCCTTCCCACCCCTGCTCTTCCTCTTCCTCTTGGTCTGGGTATCTCCCTAACGCTCTTTCCTGATCGTTGATCCTCTCTGCCCTCTTCTCCTGTGGCACTCCCTTCCTTCTCATCTCCCATGCCTCCTCCTCCAGGTGTTCGAGCAGGATCTCTGACTCTTCCTCTTTTACTTCGTCCTCCTCTGTCTTCGGGTTTGCCCTCGCTGCATGGTCCCGGCGTCGCTCCAGTCGGTTCCTCTCCAACTGCCTGTCCATGGTCCCCACCAGCCAATGTAAAGCATTTAGATCCATTGCTTTTCCCAGCGCCCTTCTCCGCTGCGTCTCTGTAACTTCCAGACTCGCGGTTGCTCCCGCCATGAAGCCCATCGCTAGTTCCCGCTCTAGCGCAGCCGGCTCCTCCCACTTCCCCGTCAGTTGGTCGTACACCATCCCCGGCCCCTCTATGCCATCCTTCATCTTGAAGCCCTCTGCTCGCTCGTAGGCCACTAAGGTCGGCCACGCCTGTCTTGGCTCCCCCACCATGTTGCAAGGATACTGTGTCTCGTGATCTGGGTGCCGCACAGGTGCGGGGATCCGTGCCGGCTCCAATATCTCCGCCACCAGCCTCGGCCGCGGTCACTCCATCAATGACAACTCGTACTGCAGGACTGCCTCCGGCAGCACGTTCTGCCAGTATCTGCGCGGTCGGTGCGCTCTGCTCCCGTTCTGAGCCGCATCCCATGCCACCCCTGCCCCCAGCTCTCCTCGGATTTCTTCTTCCGCCAGCTTGACAGCCCCTCTTTCATCATCCTTGGTGTCCACATTTTTCACGATGTACGCCACTTCTCCCTGCTTTTGCTTGATCAGCTGAAGGATCCTGACCAGCTCTCGAAACAGTCCAATCCTCGGGTCACTCATGCCTCTTCCTTCACCAGCCCGTGACATGCCTTGGCACTCCCAGCCTGCTATCACTAGATCGATGTGCCCCCAGCGTGCCAGCGCCTCCTCTTTCACGTCCTCCACGCGGTGGCAGGCCCACTCCGCTCCTCTCTCCACGGCTCCCTCATACAGCTGAGATGGATAGCGCTCCTCCAATTTCTTAATGTGGTGCCAAGACATAGTGCTCGCCGCGTCGTCATTGTCGACGTAGATGTATGTTTGCACCCGCAGTCCTGCCTTCAGCACAGCCGCCAAGCCCGTGCTGATGCCTCCAAACAGTTCCAAGAGCACGATCGGTCTCTGAAACACCCGGCTGTCCAAGTGCAGTTGCTTCAGACTCCCGCTCACCCCCCATTGCTGTCGGTGCCAGTCGCGATAGCGCCGCTCCTCCTCCAGCTCTTCCTAGTTCCGCCGACCCAACTCCTGTTCAGCTGTCTTCACCTCAGCCTGATAAGCCTCCCGCAGCTCCCGGCGGATGAACCTCACCGGAAGTTCTGCTACTCACCCGTCGTATTCCAATAGGTCACGCGGTATGTCAGCCTTTCTTCCCACATACAGATGGTCGCGCCGATGCTATACAGAAATTCCACCCCCAGGAGTAGGTCGTAGTCCTCAGACGGCGAGATGCCACACTGCAACTTGGCGGAGCACTCTTTTGGGCTGCCTTGCCGAATCATTATCTCCACAGTCGCCCTAGTCTTCGGCATCCATTTAGTACCCCCGCCTTCTGCCGTCATGAGCATGAGTCCCTCCGCGATCTGCCGTTCCGGCCTGTCCAGCTGTAGCTGCGCCGCCAGCCCCTTCCCTAACAG